CCCGGCAGGAGCTGTTTTCTCTCACTTACTTCCAACGTAATCCGAGTACAGCTCCCCTGCGCGCAGGTCGTAGCGCCGGACGCGGCCGTCCACAGAGCTGGGGGGGGGACAGGACAGCGGGAGGGGTTACAGGGCAAGTACAGAGGCTGTGACGCCCAGGCCCCCAACACACACACACAGCCCAGGCCCAGCTGGGGCACTCCCAGGGCAGCTCCTGGGAATGTAGCTGGAGGAGGGGGGAGTCAAGCCCCTGAACCAGCTCCTTTCCCGCATATGGCAACCCACAAGGGTCAAATGTGAGGCTGCCCAGCCCTGGTGGGGGAGGTTACCTGCCTCGCCCTACCCTGATGAAGGTTCTTCACCCTGGGGGCTCTGGCTGTGGGTCTACAGCTGAATTGCAGGGGCCGGCCCCCTCTCAGCCCCATCCTGCCCCAGCGGAGCGCCCCTCACCCAGAGAGGATCTCGTAATCCGACACTTTCAGGCTGGACACCCCGTCCTTGGCTTCGTCCAGGATCTGGATGGGGTCGGGTCTGCGTGAGCGGCAGTCCCAACAGCGGACGCTGGAATCGATTGAGCCTAGGAGAGAGCACAGCACAGATTCAGGGGAACAGCCTGGGCACATCCTGAGCTGGATCTAGCCGGGCCAGACCACAGAGTTCCTTAAGGACCCGCAATGAGTCAGCTGGGGCTTCGGAGCCGCTTTGCTTACCCGACAGGATCACGGTGGCCTCCTCGTTGAACTGCACGCAGTTCACCTTCTGTGGATGGAGAGACCGGTCAGGAAGGACAGCCGGGGCCAAGTCCAGCGCACGGGGCGTGGCCATCGAGCGCTCTCCCTGCAGTCGCTGGGCCATCCCCCGAGCAATCTCCCCCTAAGCCACCCTGATCCCCTCACCCCCTCCTCAACCTGGCTGCAGCTTCCCCAACAGCCCCCCCATCTCCCCTCCCAACGCTCCCTACAAGCAACTCAACGTAACCCCGAGCTGCTTCACCATCCTATAACCCTCCCCCTGTGCCCACACTCAGTTGCTGCACCTGTCCGGGCACCGCTCTAGGCAGCACCACCTCGATTCAGTCCCCACCCTGGTAGCAGGAAGGGTTAAGGCCGCATCGGTCACACCCACTGGCTGAGAGCAAGGGAGCCTCCCCGTGACGTAATAAGTGATGGGGCAGGCAGCTACACCCGCAACTTGTGTTAAGTCCTAGTGGGACAGGGAGAGAGTAGCTGGGCCGGCCATTCCCCACATGTAGCAGGCTGGCTGATATCAGCCTGTGGCACCCCCAACCTAGGCAGCACTGCGGTAACCAAACGGGCCTCACCCCCGCGTGACCTCTGAACTTGCGGATCACCTGCCCACTGGCTACGTCCCACAGGACGACCGTTTTGTCGGCCCCACAGGAGCAGAGCTGGCTGTTATCAAAGGAGCTGTGGGGGAAGCAGGAAGACAAGGTTAGGCGTTACTGTGAAGATACGACCACGCAGGGGGAGGTTACAGATGCGCATCTACGAGGCTTTGCATCCCTTTGGCATGTCGGCCTAGCTGTCCCCGTTTTACGGCTAGGGAGAAACTGAGGCACAAGGGGGAGACGTGCCACACAGCAAATCAGTGACATAATAGAACCCAGGAATCCTGACTCCCAGTGTTCCTCCTGCACAACCCACTAGAAACCACTCACTCCCAGAGCTGGGGACAGAACCGTGCAGTACTCACTCCGCCTCCGCCAATACCCTTCCCCACCTGCTCTAACCACTTGCATGCCAAACACTCTAAAGTGGCGTTGATCCTGAAGCCCCTGGGGTTCCGAGAGAAGTGGAGTCCATTCCCCGCCCTTACCCAGCCGCGTCCAACACTTCGTAGCCGTGGCCACTGTAGGTCTTCAGGAGGGTCCCCTTGTGGGGGTTCCACAGCTTCAGGGACTTGTCGCTTCCGCAGGTGAGACAGTAATTTCCATCCACTGCAGGAGACAGGACAGAGAATGATCCAAGGGGACAGCGTAGCAACCCCACAGCTTGTGCCTGCCCCACAGAGGCACCAGCCCCACATCCAGCATTTCCGCCCCACATCCAGCATTTCCACCCCACAGCTGTGCTCTCCTCCCTTCTGTCCTCTTACTCTGCATGGCTCACGGCTAGTCCCACTCCTCCATGCATGCTCTCCCAGCCGCTGTCCCCCCCCCCCCCGATGGAAGAAACTAAGGGCAGATCTCCTCGCTGGCATCAACAGGGCTCTAAATGCCCCACACGGCTCGGACTTCATTGCTCTAACCACTTGACCCCACTCCCCTCCCAGAGGGGAACAGAATCCAGGAGTCCTGCCCCTCATTTCAACCCACTAGACCCCACTGCCTCCCTTCATGGGGCCCGTGAGGACACACTCACCATTAAACCTCACTGCCCTGACCGCTCCCTGTTTGCACTCCAGAGTCTGCACCAGCTTCTTTGGCAGCTCTGGCTTCTTGGGCTTCGGCTCAGGAAACGCCATGATGGGACCCAAGCGGCTGGTACCTATGGTGGCTAAATCTGAGAGATCTGGACTCTGTGAGCGTGGGGCTGGGGTGACGCTGGGGCGCGTTACAAATCTCTCACCAGACTCCGGCTTTACGGGCGTCTCCCTGGGGGCTGGAGTCACTCGCTCACACGCTGGGGGAAGCGGTTGGTGCCTCCTGGCTCAGGAAACAACAGGAAAGTGATTTGGTGGCTGTTGCTGCCACAGGAGGCAGGGAAAAGGAAAACCCAACCCCCGCTAGATCTAGGCCTTGGCTGGGTTTGATGTGCAGTCCGGGGGGGGTC